GACTATTCCATACACGTTCAAACGCATTCAAACACCAAGAAGAACCGTGTTCAAAACATTTAACAAATACGTGTCGGTCGGATAAGTTTTTCGGGGGTGAATCTGTTCATAACCTCGAGCAACTAATGACGTTTCTGTGTGTTTGAGGGTGTGTAGAGGGGCGTGGCTTGCAAGAAGGTCGTTGCAAGGGTTGTTTTAATTAATGTGTCTTAATTAAAATGGCGACTATTGTAAATGGAAGAGTGGTTATTGTTGTAAGGACGATTGTAACGTAAATAGTACGGGCTCGAGAAGAGAGACTCCTTTGTTTCACTTTTATACAAATGAAACCCTCTTAACATTTCATAACTTTAATCTTTCCGTGATACTCGAGCGACCAAACAGCGAAACGATCTTAGTATATTTGCTTGGCGTCGAGAAAATTCGCGGGAATTAATTGTACTCCTCTTGTTCCCTCGTTTCTTATTTGTCCGCTTGGCCAGATACATATACATATATATTATACCTCTTTGTCATCAAATCCTCCAAGCATTTCATTACACCGGAGACGCGCTCATCGTTTCAAGAGCAGCCTGACAGATTTCGTGCAAAGACGAGAAGCATTTCTCTGGCGCAGGCTATGCTTCAGATCGTCTGCACGCGATAAAAACGTAAAAACCGCTGTCCTTGCTTTTAAAGTCCCGGATCCCATCCGCTTCATTTCCCAGGATGCGTCTCCACGGACGTGAAACACGTGTACCGTTCCAGATTTATAACGAACCGCGTTATTATGGCCACACGACACGGAACTTTCTTCGAGATCTTGCCGGTTTATGCATCGAGACTCGGCTATCTCATGCCGCCGCGCAATTCGACCCTCTTATCTATTAGCAACGTCGATGGAATCACCGGAATAAATATCCCTTCACCGTACCAGTCGTCCAATAATTTCGTCCTTCCTTTAAAAAATGATTGTAAGCTCGAAACAAATATGTTCTACTTTTAACAATTTTCCCAAAGTATTTCGCGTTTAATTATAGCGTCGAAGATTCATTCCCAGAAGAATAAGCATAGGATGGACTCGTTGATTGACTCGTTCGCGTGCCACTTCCGAAAACTGGCTCTTGTTGGGCAATTTCGATGGAAAAAAGTGACAGGTATTCGCCACAGGCGGTAAAAAAGGGCCCCAATTATCCCTGGTGTCACGGTTGCACGTCGCGAGGGTTGATTCCGTGCACGACATACGCGGGCATGATTATAATCCGTTGGCTTCCGGCCAAAATCACGTACAAAAGCCCGCCCCCCGCCCGAGGTATCTATACGTTACGAAGCGTTTCGCCACGCCAAGGAGAGTTAATTAAACTAACAATGTCGCGAACCCCCCTTTCCCCCCCCCCCTCCATTTCCTGCCGCGAGTCTTTCTTTACCGTTCCATTTTTGCCCTGGATCTCATTTAACGAGAATCCGTTTCATGCTCGTCGAGGATTCCCTCTTGAGGATAAGCAAATTACCCCCTCTATGGGGGTTGTTTATACGCGTTCTACCGCGGGCACGAACGCATGCCAATGAACATTTTTGCCCACCGTAACGAAATCGGAATTTTACTCGTTGCACACTGGACTCTTCGTTTATCGAGGAGATTGATTTTTTAATATTTAACGATTCAATATTAAATTGTGAAACAAAGTTTTTTGTACGTCGAAGTTTCACTATCGAAGAAATCGATTTTTAATATTCACGGATTTTACTTTAATAAACATTGATCCACGTGTCTGACTTGTTATCGTTCTTACTACTTGAAATGGTGTTTGGTGATGAAATATCGATTCTAACGAGTTATTAGATAAATTTACGTATTGTAAAACACACGTTAGAAGAAGTTACCGAATGTCCATCCAACAGATTGTAAAGCTGCGAGCAGTTAATAGAAAGAAAAAACTAATTCAAGTAGAAATTGTGCGATATGGTCAGCCGCACGAATTCCAATGCCCAACCCCTGAACTCGATCGATTTTTTTTTTAAATGAAACTTATAGACTACGATGTTCTTCATATGAATATACGTCCACGGATACTTAATTTTCAATTAATCCGTTCAATTGTACAATTTTGTTAAATCTACGTTACTATATTATGTTATTTAGATGGAATAAAATACGATTTGAAGAAGTACTTTTAACCAATAGAATAAATAAAAAAATTAGTATTCGTGTATTTTCTGTAAGCTGTCCTGGTCACCACGAGTAACAAGTACTGTGGCACAAGCTCGCGCGTACTATCGATATCATATTTCGCTTATTGTAAGATATTTCCACTAACCAATAACTTCATCCCTTTGGAATATTCCAAAATGCCAAAATGCCTGCGGGCGTTCACCGCAAGGACTATACCGATCGACCAAGCGCTTATAAACGCCCGCAGCACCGAAGGATTTCAAAGGCCATTACTCTGAAAGGAACCACTTATACAACTATGTTTGCGCGACGATTTTTATCAATGCGGTCAGCGGAGTTTGAACCACAAAACTAATCAAATCCGACCATTCGAGAACGCCGTGCACGAAAGAGAAAGGGCACGAATTAGCGTACGTTTCAATAATCATCGAAAACTCCGTTCAAAATATAGAATTAAGGCACGAAATAAAAAAGTGAATTATCAATCGTAATTCTATCGGAAGACCAATTTTGTACATCTTCTTCAAACTGCGTCTACTGAAGTAAATTTTGTGCTTTGAATTTTGAATTTTTCAAGCGTTTACAAGTGCAGTTCCCTATCGAACTCGTGTAGATACGTTGAGTGTGCATTACCGTGGTGTTTATTCGTCGGGAAGCAAACTATTCTTTGCACACTGTGCCATCTACGAAGTGGAGCTATACCAGACGTATTATCAGCGACTCGTAGAAGCTTCTTATCGCGGGTCGGTTTTTTCCCACGTGTCGGTACAGCGACTTTGCTGCTTGGGGGTGGCTTTCGCCCGATGTTTCTACCCTCGGCCAGATGGCAGCACGAGCGTTTCATCGATAAAGAGGGTAGTTCGTAGGACCGCTGCTCGAATTTTCTAATTTTTCTAATCGCAATTTAATTCGAAAAACGATTTCTCCTTGTAGGAAGAAATAAAAATAGAGGGCTCTAAAAGATAGAATTCCGCAGACAGTGAGATCATAAAAATCACGTGAATATTGTACGGGGGGAGACAAAAGAGACTCGTTATGGTCTTTTTGGCGCGGCAAAATCCTTCTCGCGAGAGATCGAGGTAGAATCAGCTTTTATTCGGAACAAGTGCTCGACCATTCAATTATTCAGTCGAATACCAGCAGCTTCCTCCAGATTATTAAAGGGACACGAATAAAATTAGAACGACCCTAGAGAAAAAATTGTACGCGATTCGGGTCAAGAGGATACGTCGCGACCGCGGCGAATCGTAGCGATAGTGAAAATGTAAACAGGACGAAATTACAATCCACGCCATCGTCGTACAACCTTTTTTAAGTTTCGAACATTTCAGACTTAGAGAAGAGCCTTTTCACGCGTTCTTCTATTTTCCCGTTGCCCAACTATTAACGTCCACGATTCGTACCCGGAATCCCAAGACAATCGCACCACCGGCAACAGGATCATTAAATCTCTGTATCAATTTAACCGGAGGTTACCTACAATTCCCAGCAAATGTCTACCAAGTTTCTCGAGTCCCTTTCTACAGATCCCACAATCCCGTCGATCCATGTTCCCCAAAGCCGTGCTCAGCCCCTGCTCCGCGAAACTGTGGTTCTCGCCTTTCGAACGGTCGCCAGGGCCCGCGGGGATTGAACAAAAAAAAAAGAAGAAAAAAACGCGAGAGTAAAGAAAGGAGAGACAAGAAAAATCCCGGGGCGGTGATTCGCAGGGGCGGCCAATCGCGCGTGCGAAAACGGCGAATTGAAATTCCCCGAGGGCGGTGTTTTAACAAGGTGACAGCGTAACGAGGACTCCAAACACGAAGAAAACACCGGGAGCAACCCAAAGTAGGTGCACGCAGCCGGGGAGGGTTTGGCGCGGTGTGGCACACAGAGAGAACACGTGCTCGGGATGTTGGAACACCGATCGGACGGATTATCAACGATACAAGCAGCGGAGGCAACGACACAGCGGCGCCCAACAACGTTTCTTAGCTTCCTTTTCACGGTGTTACGCGCGCGGAAAGAATCCTGGATGCGACCGAAACACGATTATTAGAAAACGTGATGCAATTCCAGTATGTTTACTGGTAGACGTCGGAAAAACATGCGGTTCGTACGAGAAAAATGCTGTTCTAGGAAACGTGTATCCTTGAATTTTTACTGAAGTTAGTCACTTTGGTCGCGGGCCGATGTTTGGTGCCGTTTGGGCGAAGAAAAACAGTCTCAACGTGTGTTTTCTGACTCTAAACTCGAACACCGTCGATATCTCGTTGTCAAAGTGCAGAAATACAAGATACACTCCGACAAAGTAGAACAGTCTACGCTAATCTCGAACAAACCACGTGATCCAGCGTCAAACTAGATCAAACTACAGTAGCTCCCGTATGTTTGCACTAGATGCCCTGTAAATTCTGTATGCGTTGTCAGATGTGTTAAATCGTTAAGTTTGAGGTGTCCGAATTATTGAATCTGACTACACGGCAGCCTAACAACTTGCAATCTTATTTTGAAAACTGAAACCTATGCATTCTATTTGTTAACGACGTATGTAGATTGGAGGCGTTCGAATACTTTCGTGAGCTACTGTAGGTCAGACGAGGTAAAAAAGAACGTCGTGTCACACGATTCGTAAGGGAATGGCCGCATTCAGGATCTCAACGCGCGCCATGGAAGCATGATACACGCATACACATAAAGAGAGGGGGGTGTGTGGGGGAAAAGCTTGATTCGGGGAACAATCCAAGACGATGTAAACGCGTCGGGTGTGTGCGATGTGAGCGCAGGAGGGTCGTGTGACGGGATGGGTGGTGGGTGGTGCAAGGCAAACCCTTTGTTTGATCGGTAACGCGTGTAACCGTGGGCTTACCTGTCGGAATTGTCGAATGCCGCCATTGATCCGCAACGAGTCCGCGGCGATGCCGGCTATACCGTCGCCTGGTTCGCGCAGCTGCCGCAGGGAGGCGGCACTCGGCGCTGTGCCAGCGTGCAGAGGGCAACAACATCCGGAACAACAGCACGCCGATGCTTCCGGTTGCGAGCTTTGTCGTATTATTCGCGCACTGGGGGACGTTGTAACGAGAACTGGCGGCGGCGGGGCCTGGCACGGGCAACAATGGTGCCCGCTCTTCACGCTTTCTCTGCAACAGAAACGGGGGGACGGTGTTATCGACGCCATTGGACCGTAGGAACAGGCGAATCCGATTGGCCCGAGAGTATCGGGGCCAGGTGTTGTTAGGCCGAGTGTCACACCGAGGCTCGAGGCTCGAGCCTTTGTGCCTGCCTTGTATTGTATTCGCTATTCTGTCGAGTCGAAGGTCAGTTTACAATTGGCATCGATTTTAAGTACGCCGATATGGGTCCTCGAAGGAGGCGTCTTCGGGTCAACTTGGTTAGGCTCTTTCGTCCCACCTTTTTCAGATACCGAGGAGGTGGTCTGGGTTAGGTCCACCGGGATCAAAACATAATGGCCAGATCCCTAAATAGTAGGAGGGAAGCTAATCTTTTGAACAAAAAGTACTCATCCTCGATATTAACACGTTAACCAATAGTGAAAATACATAATTAGAGTAAATATCGACACTGATAAATTTGTTCAATAATACCATTGTTAGTGTAATGGTTCGAAGAAATTAATTCCATATAGAACATACATAAATAATTTTATTAATACACTGAAACACTCCAGGCAAAGAAAAGGTGAACTATTTTTTGCTTTTGTTCTCCTTTGAATTTTTTTCGCAGCACACTGAAAAATCGCCTTAAATTTCGTGCATTTCCCGGTACTTTGTTTTGAACGAGTTTTTGGCAACGGGACAGAAGCTACTATACGTTCATGAGTTTTCAACAAACGTTGAAAATTCAGTTACTTCGTACCGCGAGAACTCTTGTATTTATGGAACGTGGAACCATTGCTTCATCCGCGAGGCTACTTTTTATTCCAGCCGAGCAAATACGTCTCGTATTGCTTCGTAAATACAAAACGAACTACAAAGTTTACGAAGAAAGCAATGGTATCGGAATTATCGAGGGAATTATATAGTTAAATTGCTTCAGGTTGAACTTCTTCGAAGAACAGTGGGAAGTTTCCCTTAAATCCCTGGACACCCGTTGCAATAACGCTTCATCTTGGAACTCAAATTCTTGTCTCTGTGTGTGAATATCCCCGGGCAGCTACGCCATATTTTAATTTGGATCGCTCGATAGCATATCACGGTGTATGGACCATAGATTTTTACGAACAAAAGAATGTCAGTATTAAGTAAAATAAATATAATTCTTCCAACAGTTTACTTCCAACGACACGAATAATTGAATCGCGAAATATTTCATTCTGTAATCGCAATTTCTATATTTATTTAACCAGCAACGGTGGTGCGTCGTTCGTTTTACCGTCGATATTATTTATTAAACGTTGCCCGCGAAAGTGCACATAAATTTAAATAGTTTTTTGCGGCAGGCCAGATTGCATTCCTCGTTACGGGGTATCCGTATAATCTGCGTTCCATTATGCAGCGTTTCGATTAAAATTGAATCGCTGGTGGCGTTTCCTTCTTAGCGGCGGCTTAAGGATTCCACGGCTTTGAGGACGGATTTGATTACGACATTATGAAGAGAACCGCCCGATAACGTTATAATATTATCGCGGCCGCACCGATTGGGTGCGCCACGCATCCTCCCCCGACGCCGCTAATGAAGTTTCGTCTAATGAACAGGAGACGCCATTGTCAATTTTGGCATTGGGAGTTAATTATCTTATACAACTGGTAAACACGTTGACTGTCAATAGGACTGTCGTCCACAATACGTCGCGTACACGCGGACCTGAGCAATGCCTGACGCCCAGAATGGACCCGTTCGCCCCGTATCTATGCCCGCCATCGCGATATAACAGACATAATAACCGACTATATCGCGAAGAATTTGAATATGCAAATCGCGGCACGACCACCATCGAACAGGAAGACGCGTTCGAATTGTTCGTACCATTGTTCCAGAGCAAAATCAGTCAGAATTTAACCAACGTTTAATGGTTACGCGATCTTCGCGTTTACGTTTAAGGGAGGAAACCACTGTGACCGATTGAAAAAAAAACGAAAAAAGTTTAATTAATCGGTCGAATTTCCTAAAATAAGTAACAAAAATTATAATCTTTTGTAATTTAGGTGAGTTAATACTTTTTGCGAATCAATGGGTGTTGTTCGTCGAACTCGTTTCGAATAAATGTACATTTTTTACTATTTCCAGTGAGAATGATTTCAACAAAATTCGAGAGCACCTTTTGTTTCTCCAAGGTGTATCCAAACTGTTCAGCGATACTGTGAACGCATTCAGCGTGTACAACGCCGTTGGCTTTCTACGAGATTAATATGCGAGTCACTTTGCTGTTTACTCGACTCCGCATGTGGTAAATATTATATTAGAAACGGAGAGGTTAACAGAGCACGAATGCGGAAAGGGTCCGTTGGGGACGAAGAGCAAATATGGTAATTAGGAACGACTTTTCACGTTTGATGGAAAACATTTTGATGCACATTATACGATTTATTATACGAAACACATAGGTGATTAATGAAAATACGTATAAATTACTATGAACCTTTCTAGAGCATTCGTGATATAGCTAAGAATAACCTATAACGTAAATAAACTAAAACAATTTAAGTTACTGTGAAAGCTTATTTCAATCTTCAAAGTAGCAGATCATTTATTGACAATTTTCGTTTCTTTTTCTTTCAAATTCATTGAACGTCTCGAGTAGCGATTCTTTTCCAACAGATCTAACAATTTAGAGTTCGAACGCTGCAGAGTTCGCGATAGCGCAGAAATAGATTGCACGCAAACCTCGGTAAACAAAAGGGCCGAAGAAAGGTTCGGGGAATAAAAGTTGAGGAGTTCGATACGAAGGTGTCGTCAAGGTGGATCTCGATGTAGGCGACTAATTCGATTTTCCTGAGAGAATGTGCTCAGGAATCGGTGTCGTCGGGGCCTTTGTCCACCGTGTCTCTAAGTTGAGTGCTCTCGGTTTAGAATTAACGCTGATGGAAGACGACTGTCCTTCCAAGATATCGTTAGCAATAGACTCGAGTATTCGTGGCTCCATTCTCGGGATCTAATAATCGAAATGCCCCCGTTAAGACCGTGACAATTAATTTTATTTCGTTCCAGTATCATCTATTTATTCACGGAATTGGAATTCGACGTCCTCTTTAACACAAAGCACCATTGTAGGATCACAAACGTAATATCTTTTGAGTTGTTTGAAGTTTTAGTGTACATCTAACAACCTTGTTGAGCGAAAGAGTCGCTTGTGTTTTAATCCTGCAGAAACAATTTCCTGTTTCGAAACAAGAAGAATGAAAACTAAATTTTGTCCGGAAATTTCAACACACGCGTCGTAAAAAAAAGAGCCTGAAAAATATAGTTCCTAGTTGGCTTCAACTTTAAAAATTGTTATATTTGGAAAATGTTGCGCGTTAGAAGTATTCTCGAAGCGTGGCTGACGTTTATGGTGCAATAGAAACGATATTTACCATTGGCATTATCGATGTCGGTTACGTTAGATTTATTTACGCGTCTCTTAACGTCGTTTCGACGTCGATGCAGTAACTCAAAGTCGCTCCATCGAACGACTTTGTTACGATGTTGTAAATCATAGCGTGGAAACGTAGACTGCGCGGTCCTTTTGTCGCGAACGTTGCAATACGAATCCACTTTCCTTTTGTTGCCCACGGTCGATCAATTCCACTCGTTCGATGCCTCCATACTTCGCGCGAACCCCGCATGATTAATTCAATAGCGAATTGACACTTTGACTGAAACGACCGCGATAACGTATGATTTATTCATCGCAGAATTCGTACGAGAGTATCGGTCAGCGTACAAACTTTTCTTGCTGTATTCTATTATCATTCAACATTCCAACAGTTCTTCCAAGTCTCTTTACAAGCCGGTACATTCCGTACTATTATATTCGTTCGTTAATTACGCTGAATGATAAATATAATTAGTCCTAGAAAATAACACAGAATTTTTGGAACATTATGTAAATTTTAAAAATTCTATATTATTTTTTTTGACTAATAACGTAATTAATGTGTTCGCTTGAAAAAACTGTTGGGATTTTTATATTAATTTTAACATTTACTAAAAATTGTAACATCTTCAAACAGTACTTGAATGCATAAACACGTAAATAAATTTTCGATTCAAAATAACTGTACCGCAGTTTCTTTCGACTGTGAGTCGCTTAAGTTAAGATTTATCGAAGCAATGCGCATTCTCTGAACGTTTTGAGTCATTGCTGTGTCTCGTGCACTTCCGCGTCGCGTCAGGCGATCTTTCTTGTAGCCGAAACGTAAGAACGTAACGGGAAAATCTCACGGGATTTTCGAAAAGTCTATTCTTTCCTGAGCTTCCCCTATTTTTATGGTATCATAGCCCTTCCTGGTTATTATATTCCAACCCATATGTTACTGCAACCGGAAGTATCGCGACAGAGCGTGCTTTTCGCGTTTAAACTCTTATCTCTTCGTAGACGGTTCGTTCGAAGACATCTAAAAAGGAATTACCGTTTGACAATTGTATAAATTGTTGTCAGGAATATAATGTTCGTGGCTTGGAACTCTAAGAACCCAAAGTTGGTTCGAAAATTTTGCAACCGAGTTTTCTAAAACGTTTCACAAACCTACTCACAAAATTGCAGTTAATATAATTTAATAAAATATAGTAAATTATAGTTAATATAATTTTCAGAATATTCTCACTAGATATTCAAATTTGTTTCTTCCTCGTGGAAGTCTCGACGAAAGACAAACGAAAACAGGTGGAAAAACTTCCGGAACTTCAAACTCGAAAATACTTCTCCGCTGAACTCCGAAGATGTTTAGAATTCATGTAATTTCTACAGGGATTGGAATATTTTTCCATAATTTAGAAAATCAAATCTCCGTCCAAAGAAATTTTAAACGAGCGAGTAAAAAATCATTATAAATTCCCACCGGACTATTAAAGTTCGCCCGATCGTCGCGGAAAATATTCCGCGGTTCTCTCTTCGTTTTCTCGGAGAAAACTGGCGTCAGCTTCCTGCGTTTTCTTTAACCGATCCAATCCAAAAGGTAACGCGAAACGATTCAAAAAAAAATTACCTATGAAAATAAGATCTGTTTTCCTATGCATCGAAAGAGCATATCGTCGAAGAACTCCAAGGAACGAGAAAACATTGTCGACAATTTCTATTCGCGTAGACCGAGAAAATCGCCCTTAAAATTTTTCTTCCAGTAGTTACATTTATACGAAAAAAAAAGAATCGATTAATACGTTTGAATAAAATTTAAAGTTTCAAAATTTCGTTTTCAAAGTTAGTGGGGAATCTCATGGAATCGATAAATATATTTTGTAAAAATTATTGATCTTCTCAGTGTTCTCCTAAGTTCTACCTTTCGACACCTAAGTATAATCGAAATAAAAATCGTCCGAACTCGAGGACATCAAAGCCGGGGAAATTCCTCTTGGACGATGATCGAGGAACGTTCGGGTGAATATTTTTTTCTTATTTTTCTGGATAGACTGCGATTCCGTCAGAGTCGACAGCGTAGTTCGGGAAGAAAGTGCCGAATTTAACCCCGTTCCAGCCACCTTTCTGCGCGGAACACAAGATCCCTCGACCTGCCGGTCCTTTTGAGCGAGTCCAAAGGCTTCGTCGCTCGAACGAGCATCAGACTCGCGAACCTCGATGGAAATGCTCTACACGCAGATTTTGTTCAATTTTTCATGGATTGAGAACCTTTTTCAAATGCAGGAAGTGTTGGATTTCTATTTTTTTCATTACGATCAATTTTTTTCATAACTCGACCTTAAACAGTTCAGACTTCAAAAGGAAATGGTCTCCGACTAATTTTCCAGATTACTTCCTCGTCGTCTATTATTTTGAACAATAGGAGCTTAAAATGTGGACCAGAAATTAATTTTATTTTAAAACTCTGTGAAGTTTACGAATTTTAAGGTGTAATATAATAATTAAAAAAGTCGATTCATTGGATAGGAGCTTAAAGGTTAAGGTCTGTGTGTACAACACTGTGAAGTTCACGAATCCCCACGAAGAAATATGGTAATTAAAAACTCGTTTCATTGGATTCACCAGACCAGAATGCTTCCTTGACATTGTTTTAAATAGCAGGAAGAGTCGTGTAGCGAATTATTGCTTCCCAGGAGTGGTAGTATGGACGAAACATTTTTGGTTATGGACACAGGCTGCTATAGTCTCCTACGGAACTTGCTGCACAACGCTAATTAAGAGCCACAAATTTCCTACGGCATCGAGAGCACGGCACGTAGAATAGCCCCCGATCTAACACGCAATTCCCTGAAATATAGTTTCCTTCCCTGCCGGGGAATCCGCGCGTGGCATTTTGCTTTACGAGCTGTAACGAAACATGGGTTACCACGAATTTGGAAATAGAAGACTGGCTCGTTCCCCGGCGATAGTAGTTTGGTACATCGCGGTGGATCCCGAAACCAGGTCGGGGGCTTAACACTCCATGCTAGAAACCTTCCCACGCGAAGCCCTTTTTGGAAACACCGACGCCAGGCTCAAGTTATTAAAGAGAAAAGGGGATGAACTGCCTAACTGAATTCCTCCGCGAAATTTATCGCCCGCCGTCGTTGGACGATATTGACCCGTCCGTTTCGCGAAACACGATGCACGCTTTCCTACGAGCACTTATTTGCCACGATCCTCTTTCAACGCGGAGCTCGTCGGCTGGCACGAGTTTTCGAAAAAATATTGGACACCCTCGAAGATGAACGACGTTAGTTCCAACGAAAGACAGAAATTCTGATTAATTTCGTGCTATAAAAAAAGAGAAAAGAAAAATTATTTCCCGCGTCGATAGTTAGCGGGTGAGCTTAGAAAAGATCTACGGCTCGTCCCAGTTTCCAGGATCACTCTGTATATTAATAAGATCGCGGAAAAGAAATACAGCAATGGATGTGGCTCGGCATAAATTGTGCTCGGGGAAACCCGGCTACGGAATGAACGTGCTTGAATCTGCTTAGCTCGAAACAAGAAGAAAAACGTAGGAAGTTTGAAAGAAGCAAGAGCAAGCGTATGGAAAGTGACTGAAGACGAGGGATTCAAATATTATAAAGAGTATTAAGGTTGCAAGGCATGCACAGCGGCTGGTAAAGTTAAAATGAAAAGAAGAAATTCGCAACAAGAACACGATTTCGAAATTTGAATAACACAATGGGGGCGTTGGGAATTGCTTTGAAAAAAATTCCTACGTAACTCTGTCTTGGCGTTCAGAGGAGTGCTATTAATCTTTTTACGTTTCTTACATTTTTATCGCCGGAATTTGAATTGAGAAACTGTCACTCTCGACCGATTCTGTTCGACTCGAAGCTCTGCTTATTCTTGTCGAAAAATCTGTGAGCCCACGGTAGGGATTCCTCGCGACAGGCAATTTGTCATGGGTCGAAGCCGCGAAGCAGCAGTTAGCGGCCGCATTCAACATCCTGCGCTGCTTTAAACGTTGGAAACTATGATACAGAGGCGCTCGCGTTACACACTGTTTCGAACCCTTCTTCGATATGCCCCGAGACGGTGTCTGAACTCCAAAACTTCGCCAGTTACATAAATTGAAACTTCCCTCGCTACGCTCCGTCGAGAATTCCAACGTCTCGCGTTGTGTTGAGTTGGAAATTCATTCCGTAACCACTGCGGAGGCGGCCAACTACGCAAGATAGCAGATACACGCTCGAAATGCCATTATCTCGCCGAAGAAACGACCAGGAAACGGGTCTTTAATTGCCCAGTGGTGAATCTGGTTTAAAAAATTCGCTAATAAAACGTTTCAGTTTGGTTAAGAAATGGTAACAACACTTGTTCGAGTTAGGGGTGAGAAACTAATAACTTCGAACGAGCTAAACTGTTTTTCATTGGATTAGCAACTGTCCCGAAGTCGGCAGGACTAGTTGAAAGGAATGAAGATGGCTATCGCGAATGATGCTAAACGTACGCTCCAAGAACTTTCTAAATTCAGGTCAAGTGATAACATCATCGAAAAGGAGACCATCTCCATGGTATAATGCCTCTCTTGAAACCCTCTTATGCAAAATTCAGCAAACCAGTCAAAAATTTTCACCGACGTTTTCACGTCACCGCGTAAGCTCAAAATCTTCAGACAATGTCTTTGGGTGGGAGTAATATAGAATTCCATCAATTTTAAAATTCGCATTAACTTGAACTTGACGATCGCGTGGATCGTCGAACCTGTTTACGGTTGGAAAATTATTCCCGTATACGGAATTATTCGATCTCTCGCGCTTCGAAATGTTGGATTAACGGTTCACAATGCATCGATAATGCACGTAATTTATATTTGGAGAACGAGTTTACAATAATAACAGTCATGGTACGGGGTGTCGGTTCGTTTAAACGTTCAACCAATAAATGCATTTATTGTAATTATTCACAGTTTTCGACAGACGGTAGATAAAACAATTAGTAACGCGTGTCGAGTAAATAATGGACGCAAACATTAACATTTCGGGTGGCTGAGTTAATCGAGCTTTAATGTTCATGTTTTTGCGCGATATTCAAGTCCGCGAGCGCCATTGTACGTCCTCGACAATTACAACCCAAAATAATAACTTAAAATAATAGGTAAAATTACTTAAAAACCCCCCCAGGACGTTTATAATTTCTCCTCGATCGTTAATTCTCTTGCTAGTCTAATTGAACGAAGTGTAATGTCTGTCACTAACCTAGAAACGCTTCTCGCGAGATGCAACGCTGAAGATGGCGCCAGTGAGTCCCTGCGATCGCAGCGACATCTGTGCTGGTGGTGAGGCTGTCTGGAGCGATAAATGGTAGGCACGATCGGTTGCTGTACTTGGGTCTGCTGCTGCGGAGGCGGTTGAACGTCGTTGTCGAGTCGACAGTGCAACTCAATGTCCGGTACCGATCTCGTTGCCGGGTCTTCGTTGGTGCCGCTCTCCTCGGAGCCGCCGAGCCCCGAGACGGACAACTGTGGCGAGGCAACCAAAAAGGTTGCTCGATCCTGTCGCGTGAGCACCGGCTTGCCCTGAGACGCCGCGGCAACCACGACCGGCGGGGGTGGCGCCCTGCTCAGCAGGGCTGCCGTCTCCTCGCTGGAACCGTAATCGGTACCGTTTCCACCCTCCTGAGAGCCGACATTGCCGTTCGTATTCATCTTGCGCCCGGGTTCTCGACTGACGCGTCACGTGGCCATTTCCTGAAACCCAAACAATTCCAAACGTCAGTCAACTTGGTCAAAATATCAATACAGGAGTTCACCATTCGGGAAACTGACGAAATTATAACCAACAAGAAGAAAATTAGTAAAAGTTTATACCACGCGTGAAGATAATTTTGATGGTCGGCTAACCCTGGGAAAAATTTTAATAGGAGATTCTAATATGATAGTAATTACGCAAACATCCTGTATTTAAGTTCATTTTCAATTAAATAAATAATTTATAATCCAGTTGTATCGCATATCGATCGTATAATCGATAGGAGTTGCCGAAACGTCTTTGGATATGTAGCGTCAAAGTAAATGTCAAAATAAACATAGAAGACAGCATAAAATATGATAGTTGGTATAGTCATTGGATAGAGGATGAAATGTCCTTTAAAATGAGCGTTTGTACAAGTCGATAGCTTTATTAGTTCCGGAGATATAGCGATTTTAGTTTCAAGTCGATGCGGTGGCTAGTTCCGGAGATATAAGGGTCCGAAGCGTTTGTTTACATTCTTACTACGGCCTTGTCAAGGTCGTTGACTGGCACGTGCTCGGAGAAACTAGGTTACTCGGCCACTCGGTCACGAGTCACGTGCGAGAAAGAGAGGTCCGGCGCGACGCGTCAGACGGAGACAGAGATAGTCGAATTAAAAAAGATTACCCCTTTACATAAATTACGATATCTCGAAAACGGAAAGTCCGATCGACAAAATCCAAAAGCCATTTTAAAGAGGAGGCTTTGCCGCTTCTAACAGTGGCTCAGTTATGGATAAAACACTAGTAGCTTCGGAACTGCACGCTTCTAAAGTTTAACCATTTCGATACGCGTTGTAAGACTGTTCTGAGACAGTGGAAACTGAATATACATGGTCTTTTTTTACTTTGTCTTACTTATTCTTATTACAAATATGCTTGGTATGCCTCGCGACTATCCGAAAATCACTCACATTTCATCAATGTAAATGAAGCGGCCTTTTCACCAGAGTTAAACACAAAACTTTATAATTTCTGTGAGAACAGAACTTCCATTAGATGTACGTGGCCCCTGAATCTTTTATGTTTTAGACTTAACTTTTAGAAAAAAAATATATACCGAAGATCAGTCAAAAATATAATATCACATTTAGCGTACCATTGAAAAATGATTAAAAAAATTAAAAAAAAAGATTTGTTCTAACAGGACTCGAACCTGGGGCGAAAAAACTTTGCACTTGCAGGCAGACACCCAGTATGGCAGCTTCTAGTAAATGAACGACTCGGATCACAGATGTTCGGACCGTATCATTCGCTGATTGTCTTTCGAACTGTTCTCCGTTCGGATTCCTTGCCCATTCAACGCGCATTCCTACGCTCTCGGGCTACTCAAACCAACAAAGTTTCGTCGCAAACAGAGTTGGATGCTCCGCGGATGTTCTCTGCGGGCACGAGCTCCCTTTGATGTACCGACACTGCTCCGGAACATCACCGAATGCATACGAATGCATTTATTTCGCCTTTGGCCTATCCGTATACGTTGCCCAAATTCTCCTATCGGTTTTATTTCTTCGCCATCGTACGGTATGCACAAACGATCCGAAAGCGTACGGGTGTGTTTGTTCCGTCTCCGGTGGCCCGACAATTAAATAACGAGACTGATTGTTTGTTTTACAAATACTTGTTCGCGTTAAGGATCGCCTTTGTTTTACTCGATTACTGGCACGATCGACCGTCGATGTTCGAAAATTGTTCAGACTTTTATTATCCGGGGGCATCAAACTGCAATTTTGATCGGCTTATCGGTTTGATGATGCGCGATGCTATTTTACGACCCCGCATCAGCGCTTGAATCGAGGTTCTTTAAAAGTGCAGGTCTTGCAAGTACCTGTTAATAACGAGTCGGATTATACGGTGAACACGAGGGCATGTAATTTTACTGCTCCGAACGAAGATGCATTCTTGATGGAAATGTACTGTGGATTTCAGAAATATTTACTCTATTTATTTAAAGTCAGATGTCTTGTTTATTTCTTTAATTTTGGAGTGTCGATTTTATAACAATTCGATATATTCCCTGGGACTAACTTTACTCTTGGGCCTGCTACTCGTCAGTAAAGCAACTGTAACAGGTCCTGATCAGTCGAGAAATAAATGGATGGTGGAGTACTTTGCGAGAGAGACAAGAGTGTGGCCCTCTGGTGGCTAGCGCAAGAACTGTCGCCTCAGTCTGTATATCTCACGTATAATTGAAAATACTTCAATTTGAATAAATTTGTTGGAGAGTATTTCTATTGTTTTGATTTTTATCCTTTTACAAATTCAAAATGCACGTGTATGACTATAGTAATAAATCTTTGAAAAGTAATAGAAAATTCAAGGATCAACGTGATCGTCTTTCCATGCTCGAATATCGATTCCAAGAGGTGGACACCGGATATAGTTGTGCTTAGAAACTTCGAGTATCGACTTTTAAACTACTCCGGGTATTCCTGGCCTCCGCGCGACCGCGCGGACTTTGACTTTCGGGGATTACCGGTTGGGTTTCGGTTTTCTTCCCCGCTGTTTCGCGCAGATTTATCGCCAGTCTCGTCACGTGCGCGTTGAAATACACAGGCTTAGCGCCACGACGCGCGAATCTCGACGAGATCTCCCGTTACATACGACGGTTTACAGTCGAAGCTTGATCGATGTGATTTAGGGGGACGCTGGACATCGAATACGCTGTCGTTTCGATGATGATAAACTGACGCCACGAAAGGACCCACAAATTTTTATATATTCGCGTTCCAACGAAACTATCTCGACCACGTGGCTAATTTAAGGGGATAATATTTATTCATATACAATAAGAAAAATTAAATTTTAGAATTGAAAACAGAATTCTTATAATCTATACGAATCGTGTAATCCAGTTTAAAAAAATATTGACACCCTTAAAGCGCGTACTTGATAAAAATGATTATTAGTAAAATATGTTTTCTTGAATTAAACATTTCAAAGTGATCGAATTAAGGATACAAGGTTAATTATAATTTTTAATCCGAACGAGTACAGATCGTGCAAGAACGACTTACTCAAAGTTTAATACTAATTAAAAGCACAGTTCGACGAGACGTTAAAAAATGACAGGCGTTGCGCGGCTCTACAGGGACACTTATAATGAGTATTAACTATTGAAGGTATGAACTTGACGCGTGCGAGGAAAAATTCCCATGAAAGTTGATGGAATTTTAAAAAAGAATCCCGGCATTCATAAAATGTCAGAAACCTCGGGCATTTTAAACGGTGAAAATGCCTAAGTATGGAGAATGTATGTCAAGTACTCTATTGAAGTAAACTTAAATACATATGCATCTATTTTCCACCAATCTTAGATATAATGTTTCAGAAAATTAAGTCCAATTTGTTGAATGTTTGTCTAAAGACTTAGACTGCATTAAATTAACTAAAATTGTCTATGACATTTAATAAAATGGTAGTTCGAAAAATATAAAAATATTTTATACATTATTTTACATACATATTTTTCCTGCATATATGCATATTCTACGAGCATAAATGCCGCTGTTAATCACTTTGTTCCCTATTATTAAACTGTCTGCCGAAGTAAATTATACATCACGTAAATAAAAAGAACAAAAGCCCCTGGAGCACCTCGAAAGGGAAGTATTGTGGTTGAAAAACATTAAAAAAATTTGAGGGTTTTGAAAAAGACATCAGATAGAACTTTTCAAGATTAATTTTTTTCAACTACCATGGACTCCATTAATCTCTTACCAACTATAGAGCTTGAAACAATTAAAATCCACTGTCTTCAATTTCGTAGAAGCCGTTGATACTCGTAGTTGCAATGCTCACCCGTACTATTTAATAAATATTTGTGTTCCCAAGACCAAAACACGAAGAACTCGTTCCAAAGACTTTGCACGCTCAAGTGAGTCGTTAACTCAATTTTCGTAGCGAAGTTTTGTGCAACTTTTAATTGGATCACTCCGGGGCGTATCCAATTGTCCCGGATCCGTGTGATCTGTGCAAACTTTCGACGGTAAGCAATACGTTATTCATTAGGAGTTTAACTAATTTGGAATCGTTACTCTGCCCCTTAACGAGCTTCGCGTTTCAACGCAATTTTTTTCAAGGCTCTCTAAATACGCTGCATGGCGCAGAGCCGTTCTCGAGTCTAACGAATCGTCAAATAGAAAAATGTTAAACAGGCAGTATATAGATTAACCAATAATAAATACATCGGACGTCGAATATAATTATTTTCCACAACGAAAACTGAAGTTTTAGGGGTCAGAAACGAAGAAGACAAGTAACGATCCTAATCCATTTTTTCTGAATTTCGCAACGTCCGAATTTGCGCGCAGCCAGCAATCAGTAACCATGCAAATTGCAGCGGGTTCGAGACCCGGCAGCCATTTCGAAATGCAGTTTTTCAGCCGGCGAACGAAAAAGGCCCGTCAGCCTAGCGTTCGTCTATTATTTCTCATTTACGTTCCTGGAATTGAAAGCGAACGGGAATTCCATTTCCATGATTCTCCAGGCACACCGTGTACAATGATGACCATTGCATTTTTCGTTCCAAGCATTCCTTTCACAGGATGTTTTGTACAAATGGTATTAATAAATGGTAACGCATTGTTGATACAGAATTAGAAAATAATAATATAAATTACAAAGAAGATTAAATTTGTCGGCGACAAAGGTTACTTTAACCTTTCGGAGAGTTTAAACACGAAAAAGTGAATTTAATTGTTGCACAGGCGACTGTATTGGATTTTCGCGAAGACAATTGCAAAATGAAATTAGATGGCAACGCCTGGATCCGCTGGGGTCTCAGGTAATTCCTGTCCGTGTTGCCTTATTCTTTCGAGATAATTGGTTCTACGTTCATTATCTTCCGCTGCAATATTTCATACGCAACGTAAACCAGAAGGAAATTATGTTTGCGAGGGATCCAAAGGATCTGGAATGCATTTATATTAATTTCCTGCTGCCAGTTTGCTTAATCC